TGTGGATCTATTAAGTCCTCGCCTTTTTCTATCCACCCATCTGCACTTGCTGAAGCTGAAGGATTGCTTTCTTAGATTTGTTACCTATAAAAACCCTGTACTTGTGATGTCTCTTCTTGCATAGAAAAAAAAACACCATATGCGCATGTTAACAAGGTCAAAAACTTGATTTTCACTGATATTGCTGATAACTGAACCAACTGGCTAAATTGCACCTTGACTTGAGATTGCCAATTGCAAGGCCAGGAACAAACTGTGAGAATCATATAAATGAAACATAACCAGAGTTTCTCACCTTCCCAGGACCGACCCACAGAGCCAGGGCCTCTCCAACCTCCTGCTCATTGCCGTAAGCGGCAGCACAGTCGACGTGTCTGTATCCGCACTCTAAAGCCGTCAGCACCGCCTGCTTCACCTGAGGACACATGGACGCACAATCCATATCTTTAGAATGTAACAATATCTACAACCTGTGTTTGTAGCCGTACCTGTCCTGCAGCACTCTTCCATGTGCCGAGTCCAACCATGGGCATCCTCTGCCCTGTAGACAGAGTCACAAAGGTGTTCATGCTGCAACTCTGAGGACCTGATGGAGGAAAGACGGTGACAGAGGAGAGTGTCAGGTGTAGACTCTTGAGGAAGTGGACGTCCAGTCATCGTGACTAAGTCCTAATACTCTGTTACTGATTATCACTCACGTCTGAATTCATTAACTCTGACCTACAGCAGGGGTCTTGAGTATCCATGCATCCTCTACATATGCCAAAGCCTTTCACAAAGCAACAACCATTATACATGAAAGCAGCAAAAATAACATTGGGTGACCTAGTTTTAGTTATTAGTAGTTTTTTCATCCTCGCAGCTCAAAAGTGTGTTTCATTATGTGAACCCTCTGTGAACCCGGCCGTAGCGCTAGAAATAGCTGATGCAGCTATATAGCTTTAGTCACAGTGTAGCGTTGCTGGAGCACATCTCATGCAGCCTTTTAACGGTTCACTAATTGTCCACTCTATCCTCACCATGTGGTACACAGACACAAAGACTTTGTTTATCAACCGCTGCAGTTGGTTCACATGATCTGAATGTCTTAATGCAGATCACCTGCCCTGACTGTCTCCTGACCCAGCCGCAGAACAGAGCGTGTAATTCACAAATCCTCAAACACAGTGCTGGTAGAAGGGGTTTTATTTTTTTTGTCCGTACCTGCGATCGCTTTTGGTGAATGGATCAGCTGAGGGTTGTGCGTCCAACTGAATTTTTTTTAGCAGGTTGAGGTCAAAGTCTGACTTCATTTGTTTATCTGTAACTCACTCTGATGGAAAATGTCCAAATTCCACTGAACTCAGTGTTAAACATAGACTACCAGAGTCAGACAGGAAAAAAAATAATAGCATAAAAAATACTGATAACACATCAGTTTTTGTGTTGATGTGCAAATTACTATCCCAAGTTTGAGTCTTATTCTTGTTTTGATGATATTCAGGATGTGACTTGATTTACTCGTTTCTGTACGGACAGAGATCACTGGTGGAAGAAGTACTTGGATGCTTTATTTAATTAATAGTGGTGATGTAACTATGTAAGAGGCCTCCATTAAAGGCAAACATCCTCCAATTAAAATCCTACCTGTGTAAAAATAGAGAAGCATTATCAAAGTATCAAAAGTAAAATGAGTCATTCTGCAGAAAAATGACCCACTGCGTCTGATATGTAATACAGTAGAAAAACACTGTTGCATCATTGTGTAATCAACATTTTACCAGTAGTGCAAACTAAAAAGTGCATTTACTCAAACACTTAAGTACAATCCGAGGTATTTCTACTTAAGTATTTTTGTTTTATGCTACTGTCTACTTTGACACCACTATATCTCAAAGGGACACACTGTACTTTATATTCCTCTACATTTAGTTGATAACCGTGGTTCCTTTTCATCAGATTGTGACTTCTATCATAATATAATGATTGATATGAAATACAAAACAATGCAGTAAATGAAGCCATCTGACAGTATTTAAGCTTGCAGGAGGAGGTGTGCTGCTCTGTCTTTCTCTTTAAGTTAAATTAATAAAAATGAGAAAAGGAAGAAAGAATCAGGATACTTTTTGTAGAGTTTTTGAACAAAGTTTCATCTTGCACTTTTGTGCCAAAGAGCAAGCAAGGGTATTTTTCTTGGACAGCGTCCACAGAGACTGACCTTATCCACTGTCCTTCACACTGTATGAGCTGTGACAGAAACTCTGATTTCCATTGATAACTCCTGTGCCAAGGCTGAAGCGCTCACCCATCTGTTTTTCAGAGCAGATTGTGCAAGTTGCCCACTGTCTGTGGTGTCATTTTAGGAGGACATCCATTGCAGCTCTGATGACTGGGTATATACCTCCTGATTGCTGCTGCAACTGTGCTTCCACTGATTTTCGGTTGGTCACTCATCTTCCTGTATCCTTTTCTATCTTTGTCTCAAAATCTGATTTTTCAGATTCTCTGGCGATTCTCTTTCATGTGGAGCCACGATGCAGACATGGAGAGACATGAGCTCCAAAGCTGGGTCCAAAACGGAAAGTTGTGGTGTTTAAAGGTCATTTTGTAACCACACTCATGCAACTAGGCTGACTGGAAATTACAGCTGTACTCACTGTTGTTTAAGTGATCACAGGTGTATTCACTTGCAGTTTTAGAGAGGTGACGCAATTTTGACTCACTTGACATTTAAACAATATTACACAGAGGCATGTTCACTTCTGATGCATACTGTAAATACTGCCTGCATGTTGATGCATCAATATTAACAATCAATTAGCAAAATGTAAAAATAGAACATTGACAGAACAAATTTTGGAAGGTTTGGAATGTCAGACTTTTACTTGTGAGTATTTCTAAACTGCAATCTCATGATTTTAGGGTGTCCCCTGCCTTCGCCCTAAGTCAGCTGGGAAAGGCTCCAGTCCCCCCTGCGACCCTAGTGAGGATTAAGTGGTGTATAGATGATGGATGGATGGATTTTATACCAATGGTCCTCAACCTATGGATCCGGTCCTCTAGAAGGTCTGGAGCCTCTCCCAGCTGACTCAGGGCAACGGCAGGGGACACTCTGGACAGGTCGCCAGTCTATCACAGGGCTACACTTCGAGAGAGACAACCAAGCACACTCACATTCACACCTACGGACGATTTAGAATCACCAATTAACCTCAACATGTTTTTGGACCTTGTGGGAGGAAGAGAACCCACGCTGCACGGGGAGAATGTGCAAACTCCATGCAGAAAGATCCTGGGTGTCCTAACTGGGACGCGAATGGGCGATCTTCTTGCTGCGAGGCTACAATGCTACCAACTGCGCCACCTTGCAGCCCCTGTATAAAGACAGTAAAAGTAAAAAAATAAAAAATATAAAAAAGGTGCTAAATGATATAATGACCAATGTGATGAAATAAATAGAGAATCTGACTTGGAAAATTCAGACCATAAATTACATTACTCCCAATCAGCCAGAACCCAAACTTGTGTTCATCATCAGTAGCTGAGAAATGGAGCAATCACGACACATCTGCATGCAGACGATCAGAAACCTGACCGTGCATAACCAGGTTTCTCATTTCCATGCAAATTTCTGAACAGGCCTCAAAACTGTGATATTAATTTAACACCCCCACGGCTCTGAGGTGCACCTCACCCTGAAGTCCCGTTTAGTGTAGCTGACAAGAACTCAAATGAGACAAGTCGGTAACTTCACACATTTGGTTTATTTGTTTCCATTTTGAAAAGTTCATAAATATTGTCAAATGCACAGAAGCAGTGACAGTGAGTCTTTCAGCAGCAGCAGCAACACATGTGCAGTCTCGTTGTAGCCACAGTCCAGCGTCCTGTAAGGCTCCGAGAGGCAGGACGATCACACACTCAGACAAATCAGTCGGTTCCCTCCCCGTTGTCTCGTAGTTTTATCGGTATCTTTTACAACATTAAAAGTGCATTTATCAACCTCGCTGCATTCAAACACCTCCCCGTTTACATATTATATATGACCTACCAGGGCTGGCTTCGTAATCCATACTCACACATACATCTTATCATTGCTGTAAACTACAGTAGGAAGAGCTGAGGAGTTTTCAGAGCCCCCCTGCAGCTGAGACAGAGAACGGCTGCTGCGATATTACAAAACCTGTTTCCTAAACAGGGGTTTACTACTTGCAGTACATATGTAAAGTTTGATGTACAGATGTTACAGAAGACAGAAGCAGTTATCAAATCACAAACTGAGGACTCCATGAAACCAAAAAGTAGACACCAACGTGGTCTATTTTTGGCACTGCTCATAGTAGCACCGAGACATGGCCTTCAAATGCCACAAGAGAAAGCAGAATATTCACAACCAAGCTGGGTCCCGCAGAGGAATCTTTACTATTTACTGTTGGATTTCAGTTCAACTTCATGCTGGCATTCCTCTGCGATATCCAGCCTGTACTTGTATGGCACTTTACAGGGATGTATTGGCAAAAAACCATCAGTCTTGTATCAAATCTCTCCTTAAAAATGCTTTTGCCTACATACAGTACAATACTGACTTTACATTGCTTACTTACTTGTTTTTCTAAAATTACCAGCTCCTCATGGTAATGTCTAACACAGCATAGGGCATCGTCTGTTGTGCACTCAACATGGCTGTTAGTATATATTGTAACCTGTTTGTGTGTGTGTGTTCACATATGTGGTATGACACTGGGCTAAGGCACCTAAATGTCCCCCCAGATATTGAGCCAGGCTATTCAGTTCAGAGCAGCCCCACAGCTCAGAAGGGAAAAGCACCCATATTATGTGCAGATTGTAATATCCGAGCTTACACCGCTGTAAAAGTGTGTGATTGTCATTCCCAGATTTTCCAGTGTAGCTGAGATACGCTAACATCGTTTGGAGTAACGCGGGACTTTAAGTGCGCTGCGGCGTTGCACACGTCAACTTATTTTGGCGGAGACAGCTCTTACTAAATGACCTACAGACTTTAAGCACAATGCTTTATTAGACTGAAAGCATGGGAAAAGCAGGTTTTTTTGGGGGGGGTTATGTTAAAACCAGGGTTTGCACTGAACACACTGAAGCTGCTGGTACACTCAAGGATAAAAAAAAAAAGAATCCTATTTTAACCCCTTTGGAAAAAAAAAAAAAAATCCTGGAAAAAAATGTTTTCTCTTAAAAAATATCTCACGGTTTATCCTATCACAAAAAGACGAGGATCAGAGAAGTTGGACGGCATATAAAACCACTGATAAATCTGTAAAAAACAGTTAAGAAAAGAAGTTCCGGTAAAAGCCACAATTGTGCTGAGCCCATCCTCAACACCGCTCCGCTACTCGGGTGCTTGTGTGTGTGCTTGGGCCAAAAGACAAAACAGACACGAATAAATTACATCCTGATACTGCCACTTGTGTTGGCCTTCCTCCTTCATCCTGCCACAGCGCCTGTGTGACGCTGTGTGCACTGACACACGACATAAGAAGAGTGACTACGATATAATGGAGGACTGGATGAAGGAGTGTTAGGTGTAGCTTTTCTGGGTTTAGTCTGGAGTGTGTGGTGGTGGTGGTGGTGGAGGTGCTGGAAGGATTACAGGTGTCTTCCTACGACTGTGGGAGGTGCTGTCTGATAATTTCTCTGGACTGAGGGGGGATCCTGTCCGGAAAACGGACCGAAAACTCCACGATGAGGTCACCGCGCTGCGAGGGGTTCTTGGGGAAAGGCAGGCCTTCCCCTCTGAGTCGCTTCACCGTTCCTGGTTTGATGATGTCATGACAGGGCAACGAGATGACACGGTTTTCCAGCGTGGGAATACTAACTGTGCAGCCACACAATGCCTGGAGAGGAGAGGAGATTGAGAGGGTTAATATCTTTGGTAGGAATGAAATGCCAAAGCCATGAATATCTCAATGACTTAATGTTTCCATGAGGTAAAAGCTGCAGTTTATCTTTCCCCTAGTACATCATCATAAGGCAAACTTTGTGTGCGTTAATGTGTTTATTTAGCCAGAAAAGGGCTCACTGAGAATGAGAATCAATTTCACATGAGCGTCCTGTGAGAGAAAAAGAGACGGCAAGCGTGTCCTTGTTACAAATCGAATACAGCACTGCGGGGTCTAGAGAGCAACATTTGGAAGAAGAACATTAGGAAAACATGACTTGGCAGCGGAAAAGTTTTCCTGTCTTTGTCTCTGTGTGTGTGTGTGTGCGTGTGTGTGTGTGTGTGTGTGTATTTGTGTCAGAGTTGGAAAGGCTACACATTGCACTGGGGACTAATTTTAGCAACGGTCTCATAGCCGGGGCTAATGAAGTGAGGCAGGAATCGGCTGAGCTCGTAAATAGTTGGAGGGCTTGTCAGATCCCCACACACATGCACAAACACACACACACTAAGCCTCACCTCCTTATCACAATGCCTGATGAATCCAGTCAGAGTGTAGCAAGCGCTAAACTAAACACAGAAACCTGTGGTTATCACGACTCCACAGGCTTTCCAGTGAGCATCATTCACCAGATTGGCTCTCAATGGGGACAACTATTTAAATCCGCACTTCTGTGAATGAACAACAAACTTTTCTCTCTATAATGCATCTGCAGGCAACTGTTACAAAACCAATCAATACACATAAAAGAAAGAAAAGATCTATAACTCACTACAAGAGGCTTCGGTCAAGAGACTAAGAAAGACAGAAAAAACTTGGAGACTTGATTGTGGGGTACCAACGTCATCCAAGTGTTTGAGATGCTGTCCTGCACTGCTGTAATGTTGTACTCTCTAATAAATAAAAATAACCCAAAAAGTGATAGACTGTAGCTACCTAGACTCTGTCAAACACTGCTTTTTAATAACTGGTCACAGCATTTGTTGCTATTTGAGACATCGCAATAAACCAGTGCTTTGAGCTGTTAACACGCCGTACAATGGCAATCCTGACATTGTCAAGTTTAGTATGTTTAAGTACATTGTTAACAGTCATTGCTTGGCATATTTGCTAATTAGCAGTGAATAAAAGGTAGACAGCTGAAACAGAGGAATTTGTCTTTAGCTTTACAGGTCATAAACCAAACTATAGGATGGCGCTAGATGAAAAGCAAGAAGATCACTTTAGTCACAATATCATCTGGGAGCAATGATATGTGAGATTATATGTGACAATCAATATGTTGTTATCTCACAGGATAAATGAAAAGTTTCAAATCTTAGTGACGCTCAGGGAGTCACTACAGTTATCTTCTTAGCAACACATAAAAAGGTGACAAATTAAAGGGAGAATCCAACCTAATTTGTGTGACTAAGGTGTTGGGCCACCATGTGCTACAAGAACAGCTTCAAAGCTTCTTGGCGATGATTCTCCAAGTCTCTGGACTCTACTGGGGGGATGAACAATATTCTTCTAAAGGATTTTCCCTCATTTAGCGTTTTGATAGCGGTAGCGGTGGTTAGCGCCGTCTAGCATGTCGGCCATAAATCTCACATGGGTGTTGAATTGGGTTGAGATCAATCATCATTTTAATGCTCATCACATCTTTTTCCCTCATGTCCTACGGATGGGAGTGAAGGCATCCATCAAGGTAGGAATGTTTCATTGCAGCTTAAAGGTGATCACCCAGAACAATTTTGTATTGATTTGCTTTGACTCTTCCCTCTGAGGGGACAAGTAAAGCCAAACCATGCCAGCAAAATGTCTCCCACAGCATAACAAAGCCATCAGATCCCCTCACTGTAGGGGTCAAGCATTCTGTTTTTTTCTTTCATCTGTCACCCATCTGTAAATAATTTCACTAAACTTCAGGGGAATCCATTAATTGGTTGTTGAGCTTTTTCAGTCTGGACTAAAGTGGTGAAATACTCAAAATCGAGTAAGTGGGTTGGATATCAAGAGTTGGAATGTAATGATTTCAAAAGAGGCTGATTAAGATATAATGTATATTCTATTTAGGACGCCACTTTTGCCGAGGACCTGTCTGCTTAGCAGTGTCTTAGATCAAATTCATCAAGCCATTAGCTGCTCAAGGCAACTGTTTTAATAGATAGAGAAGCGTCAGTTCAGCACCATTCATTTAAATTCAATCAGCCTCTCATGATGTAACAGCGCTTTTGCCTGCATTGGCACATGATTAACCTCAGAGACCCCCGTCCCTGTTATGCCTCGGCCGATGCTGCATCAGGAGTGTTGGGGGATTTTCTTGTCTCGTCTGGTGCTTTTTTTTTTTTTTCACAAGCAGGGATGTACATGTGGACTGTCAAAGTTCAGTCAAACAGCTGCTTCAGAGGACAGACAGAGTTTTCCAGCCATGACATCAGCGTCCCCCCCACTACATACATTACAGTGACTTAGCCTATGACTGTAATTGGAGACTAGTGGCTCATCCTCCTGTGATGAACAGTTCCATTGACTAACACAAGTCTTACACACAGAGACAGGTTGCCATGACGCTCAACACACACTGCCAGCTGATCCGAGGGCCCACTGATTGCATAAGCCTCAGCTCAGACAACAAGGCTATAGAAACTGACACACACACACACACACACACACACACACACACACACACACACACACACACACACACTTTTTGTGATATTTGGAAGAAGACTCTCTAGATTTGCAATCATTTGCTGGGAACTCGTCCTAACCTTAGTTATTACTGTTTCGTGCTTAAACCAGGTTTAGATTTTTGCTGTAAAGACGATGCTAAAAGTGTCCTCATCATCCACAGACTCCTCACAACACTGTGGGCTCTCTGCCACCAAGCTTGTCCTGAATGCTGAAAGCTAAATTTAACTGAACCGACAGGATTACAACACAATAGCTGCTGAAAAATACACGTGCTACCTCAATTCCAGAGATCCAACATCCTCCATTTCCCTGATTATGAGAGGCTGAGCTGTAAAAAGCTATCCACTGAGCCTTTAGAGCCCCAACACTCCCAGTTAGCACATACGTGTCTGTGGATGTGGGTTTTGCAGCAGTGACAGGAGGAGGAGAGCCGATGCCACGGATGATAGCGGCACACTGCAGATGCATCATCATTGCCATAAAAAAAAAAAAAGCCTCCCTATAGATATAGGCTGGTTCCAGAGAAAGCAGCGTGTTGTATTCGCGCTAAGCTCTGTAATTGCTTCCGATTGCTGTCACAGCGACAACGCTGCAGGGCTGAAAGTTGCCTGGAGCGGCGCCTCCCAGGAGCGTACAGCGTGGTCAAACGAGCTTGGCGGCACTAAACTAAGCTGCTCATCAGGGCACGCTTCAGGCAGAAAACAAAACCGAGCGGCAAAACAGCAGCCAAAATATGAGAAAATAAAGATATTTGCTTTACGTCTTCACATTCCACCTCTGTTTCTGTGCTGTACAATGAGGACTTGCAGAGGTTTTTGCAACAATGGAAGCGATCACACTTGGTTGTATCGTGTTCTGGTGCATTGTATAGTAACAGCTGCCATGTAGCAGGATGTCTAGTGTGCAGCTCGCATGTGGTGCTGAGTTTTCACTGCAGCATTTAGCATCGCATCTTCAGGAAAGCAGAGCAGAGTGGAGCAGTGGAATATGAGCTCTTATTTGCTTTGGATACTGAATCATCTGACCCACTTCCCTAATATTCCCCAGATACCCCCCCACCGCAGCCACATCTCCCCTGCTCTCCCCCATCTCGTCTTCAGCTGCATCAGACTTAAGTCTCTTATCTGGCTGCTGGAAGAGCGCAGGGTTTTAGCTGTGGGAGTTCTGCAGTGCAAACTTAATCACTGTGCGGGCTTGATCAAGTACCATCTTCTGCTTAGTGTGACTCAACAAACTCTAATGTGCTCTCATTAACTAGGCTTCACGTTGTCGCTGTGTGCAGCCAGGCACCTTTGTTTTCCACTGCGTTACTTCTGCGGTTGCTTTTGGAGGAAAACTGTTCAGACTTGGCTTGAGTTGAGTGCAAACAACTCCCCCCCACCACCACCAAACATTAAAGCTTGTGTAATTCACAGACGGACCAGAGCTGCACTGGACTCGTTGCCCTCGCAGGAGCAGCTAATTAAATGTCCTGCCAGTCACAGTAATAGCAGCCTGGATTGTCACCACAGTCACACTACAATCCATCTTTAACTGCTTTGCAAATATGCTTGAAGATGCAAGAGTGTGTAAGCTTGCATGTGTGTTTATGACTGTGTGTGGCTTGATGATTGTGCGCCTGCTTTGTGTGTGTGTGTGTGTGTGTGTTTTTTATACAGCAGTGCAGAACAAGTGGGGACGATGGCTTCATCCCGGTCACACAAGGACACCACATTCCCGCTGCCTCTCTCACACTGCAGTGACAGAGACTCTGTTTTGACTGATCCTGCCCTCCAGCAACGCCCGCATACACTCACGTCTCCATGTGTTTGATGGGACCACACACCCAGGAAATAATCCTACCCTTAAATTACAGGCACGTCCCTCATCCACCGCTTGCACAGGTGGAGTGACGAGAATATCATGAACAAAAGCAGCAAGAAAAATGCGATGCCATTTTGGGATAGTCATCTAAAACTTTGCAGCTCCATGAACGCATTAAGTTTCTGCCTGGTCTGCTCCACTGGGAATCAAACTCCCAACCTCAGCAGCATTACCTACTGGTCTACATGCAGAGCTGCAACAAAGCACTGAGGAGGGACAGAAAACAAGATAGCAAGACAGAAGAGAGAGAGGCTAGATCAAAAGGGATGGCGCACCTCTTTTAGACTGATCTTGCAGTTATAAATGATATTGGAACCGTCTCTCTTGAAGTGGACGTGCCCTTTGTCTTTAAGCACAAAGGCTATGTCGGCAGGAATGTTCTCAGGGGTCTCGTCCCCCTCCTTTGGGAAAGTAATCTTGGTCCCCTCCTTCCAGCCCTTCTTGATCACAATGTTGAGGATCTTGTCCTCCGTCCTCATGCTCCGCCCATCCGGGTTCAGCCTGCGGCGGGTGATCTTCATGCGCTTGGTGCAGCCGTGGAAGATCTCTTCCAGCGAGACCTTCAGCTCGTGGACCACTGGAGGGTCCTGGTGCTTTCGGCTGGTCCCCAGGCGCTCTGACGGCGCGGCCCTCCTCCTGCGGCCCTCCCCTGGAAAGCCATTGTTCATCCCACCAGGAAAGCCGAACTGTCTCCCAAAATGAGCGAAGGGGTCATCCTCATCCATTTCCATGTCCTGCTCCGCGTCGTTGCTGTGGTCGTTGTGGAAGGAGAAGCCGTTGGAGCGGCTGTGGCTGCGGTTAGAGCCGAAAAACATGTCGAAGGGGTTGGAGCCACCGAAGAAGGAGGCGAAGGTGGCATGAGGGTCCCCGTGGAAAGTGTAGTGGTACGTTGAGCTGCCGGGAGCACCTGAAGAGCTGCTGCCTCCTGTTTTCAAACCTGAGAAAGGAAAGAGAGAGAGGAACGTGAGACATCACATGCACATGCTCACGCATCAACATGAAGTCAGATACCAGACGCAGGACCTCGCTCAGAAAAGACAGCGTGTGGGTAACGGTACAGAGAAGAGTGGAGCCCACGTGGGCGGGAAAAATCCCACAGCATCACTGATCTTCCAACAGCGATGGTGGAGGAGGAACTCTATGAAATACCAGGTCACTCTGTCCAAAACACTTACACAAATACACGCACACCTTTTCAACAGAGACACATGCACACAACACCCACAAATGCAAACTACAGCAGTCGCTGCTATTCATATCTCAACCACGTAACGATCTTAAGCCATCTGTCTGTCAGCCGGCACACACAGTTACACACACACTACACGAGCAGCTGAGGTAGACTATAAGGTATTAGAGCTGGTAAGTGTTGTTGACACCAAAGATAACAATAGACAATTGCACACGTTCCAGCACATAAGCATGAAAACATGGAGGAGACAGCATTATTACTTCAGTGGCTGAAACCCACCAAGATCCTCCACTGTGATATTAGATAGTGAGTCTGTTCCTGAGCTATTCCAATAACAGCTTAATCCATCATAACGCCTGTTTAACAAAGCTTCACCGCCCGCCTGCACTCTCTGACCTCTTTCACTCGGTGATTCACACACAGACAGACAGACACACAGACAGGACCAAACCCTCATATGAACTCCCTCCTCCTCACCTTCCTCTCCCAGCTGATCGTAGACGACCCTCTTCTTGGGGTCGCTCAGTACCTCATAGGCCTCTGCGATCTCCTTGAACTTCTCCTCTGCGTTGGCGTCCTTGTTCTTATCGGGGTGGAAGCGGAGGGCCATGCGGCGGTAGGCCTTCTTGATCTCCTCCTCGTTGGAGCCCTTGGGGATGCCCAAGGTCTTGTAGTAGTCCTTCCCCATAGCTGCACTCCTCGGACTGGGACCCCCCTTTTTCTTCAGCTCAGGCCGTGGTCAGTCACTGGTGAGACACAAGGCAACTGTGAGGGTCTTAGAATACTCCTCTGGGGCTCATGCTGCCCAGAGCAGGACACTATATCTGACCTGGCAAAGGTGCAAAGTGCTCTCCTTCAGGCTTTTACTGTGAAGTCTTTTGACTTGGGAACACAGAGTGCTGGTTTCCCCAACTGTTGCTATGGGGATTGTGGTTGCTGATGTAGTAGTCAGGCTAAGTGCAAAGGAATCCCCCTTCATCTGCTTTATCAGGGGGCTTCTCCCTATGATTAAATCAGCCTATGGACAGCACTCTTTATCATAAAAGGCTACGTGAATAAGATGATAAGAGGACTGCAGATCAAACAGATGATCAGCCTCCACCTCTGCTGGGTTTAACCAGCTGGGCAGAGAAAAACAGGAGAAACACTGCGGTGTCTCCGAGCAGGACTCGGTGATCTCCGGGTTTGACCAAGAAGCGCACAGAAGGCGAAGAAAGAAAAAAAATAAATCTGGCTACATTTATAACACTGTAACACACTGCTGCTGCTACAAAGAAGCACCTCTTCTTATGGCAACACACATCAACCCAATCCATGCCATCATTTACACCAACCACTGGGTTATTCCGACTCGAGGCATTGTGGCTCACACAATGAAAACCAGACACGAGTGGCAGAAAATCAGATTCAGAAAACACCGGAATCGAAATGAAAAAGAAAAGGAGAATCCTACCAGGGGAGGGAGAAAAAAAAGAAAGAAGCTGTACAATGGACGGGGGAATCAGATCAACATGGTCCGGTTGCTCTCTCGGTCTTCCTCCGTGTCTGTCTCCCCCTCAGCCCTGCCGTCTCTGCTGCCGCCCCGGCTCTGCTGGGTCCTTATAAATTGACGTCAGGACGCCGGGAGGATCACAGGCTCGGAAATAACCGGTGACCGAACACTGAGGTGCACTGACGCTTCCCTGGAAAACCTCGGACAACTGCGCGCACAGCCGACCATAAACCTATATATCCATACCTACATCACTGCAGCTGGTTATTTTAAGTGAAGGGGGGGTTGGAGGCTCTCATCAGTGTTAGATTTCAATTTTGAGAGACACAAATCTCCCCCCTCAAAAAAGTTCATCATCCTGCTTCAGCTTGGTTGTCACAGTCAATTAACTGATCTGGTGCGTAATGGTAATATTAATGTATAGTAGGGGTCTGCTCCCCCATCTGTGATCTTGATCTTTTCTGGTTCGACCTTTACGCGATGAAATATGCCCCATTTTCCAAAAAAAAAAGAAAGAAAGAAAAGAAAGCATAAATTTCCTTACCGAGCCTGCTGCTGCCTTGTTGAGTCCGATCCTGGTCCTGCGTCTGAAAATCTCCGCTTGGAGCGCAAAGGCAGCCCTCTCCCAGTCAGCCAGCAGGGCTCTTTGTTCACAAACCCACTGAGTTGCATTTAGGATTCTGGTTTAAGTGGAGAATTGTGCTTTCTGCAGAGGCCGGCGTGAGGCTGAGGTGCAGGGAGACACAGTCATATTTGGAGAGAGAGAGAGAGAGAGAGAGTCCTGACAGTCTGATAACACAAAAAACAAAAAGTGTGTCGTGAAGTCGTGCCTGGATGGAGTCGGTATAAACACTGCTGAGTCATGTGATGACTCCACACATACACACACACACGCATTTTCCTCGTCTATCTTTGTCAATATGGAACTATCTATTCAGTCACATCCTACATCCAAACTAACCCAACTTTAAGGCTTCTCTTAACTCTAAACTCTAACAGTCCCATTAAAAACTATCAGACACCTAACCCTAACTTTACTTTAGAGTTTTGACCTTTAAGCTACATGAAGCCTCAACTACATTTCCACCCTAAGATGAAAGCTGGAGATGCTGTGTTTCAACCTCAACATGAACCAGACAAATCCCAACTAACTCAGAACACTCACTCAAAGGAGGACCTCACATGAAAAAGAGTTTCACCGGGTTTGCTGTTCTATCATTTGGGAATATTCAAATAAAATTTAAACAATAGAAGTCATAAATCTACAGTGGATTTCATCATGCACGAAAGAGGTATCTACTTTAAGACCCTTATTGCGTCAGCTGATGTCCTTATATTCTCATACAAATATTAAAGTTCCTCTCTTACCTTTGATTAAACCCCTAAAACTCATCCTAGTGTATCAAAGTTAGATATTCAAAAGTCTATTTTTTCCACAGAAATAATCCTTTCCTGCCTTAAAATGGTTTAGATGTAACTACACTCTTGCTTCCTTGAGTGAATCAATGTAGTCTGCACTGCTTTTCTGCCATCTACTGCAGCTCGAGCACACCAGCTCACCTACGACTTTGCTCAACTACTCTACGTCACAATAATGGAGTGATTAATAACCATACATGTTCAAAACAGAAACCAATTCTGAAGAAAAATAACAATAAAAGCCCCATCCTGCAGGTCGACAGGTTGGTTCCGTATGTGTTAACCTTGGAGGTCCGAATCAGTGTTTCAGTGGCTGTCATCAGCACACTGCAGTTTGAAGGTGAAAATGTTCATCCGTGGTGCCGACTGGTTATTTCACTCATGATGTGTCTGCTAGCATGTACGAAAACATCACATGAAAAGATTGACAAACCTTGACTTTCACCAGAGGGGGGTTTAAAAGTTGAAATATTCCCGACCAGCTGCCACATACAGATGGAGCTCTCGGGCCCCCTGGAGATCTGAGGTCGTAGGGCAGTTTCCCACTTAGCCTGGTAACCCAGCCTTGCTATGCCTGCAATTTAAAATAAATAGTATCCCTCAACCTCATACTTTCAACGGGAACTCCTACCTCATAAGTCCCACAACCTAGAGATGAACCAAAAATGATCCCGTTCAACTAAATTTCTTCTCACTGGAGGTTTTTATTTGCTGTCGCTGTCGAGAGATTTGTTTCCTGCAACAAAATAACACACTAAATCCTGAAGGCCAAACATCCTTCCCTCACTTCTCCGTCGTTCTCAGTCTGGAGCAGATCAACAAGCAGCCTACCCGGCTTTCAAAAAAATCACATGTATAACAACACCGGTGGAGGTCTGAGTCATTATTGATGACTTTTACCGTTAAGTGCACAGGAAGGTACACTCGGTGGGGTGAAGCGCTTCTGCTCTGCCTGCTCCATGCAACAGGGAGAGAGAGAAAATGACAGAGAAATAAAAACTCATTTGAGTCATCGCTCCCCACCGTACTGGCGAGGAGGTGCGAGAAAAGGTGGGTGTCTCCATGGAGGAGTCTGTCTGTCACACGCAAATATACACACTTGCATGTATTCACACACACATTTAACATTCAAAACAATGTTATCACAAAGAGGAGTCGCTGTGTTGTATGGCTGCGTAGAGGGACTAGAGAGGGACATTCCTGAGTGTCCGGCTAAGTGTGTGTGTTTTGGCAGCAGGGAGGGACTTGGAGGCCGGTGCAGCTGTCCCAGAAGAGCAACTGGTTATCAGGGAGTGTTATTCATGCAGAGGCCTTGGCTCAGCCTGCGACAGACGCTGAAACATGCTGAAATGCACTGTGGGAAACATCCGGTTAAAGTGAGATGTGAAATCTGCATCTGCTGGTGCCAAGTCAACACATATGTTATACAATCAACCATTCTTACTCATTACTGCCAGAGGTTCTTGCGTAACTGGTCAACTCTCAGAGAACATTATCACATTTCTGCAGTTGTTTGTTTTATGTCTGGATCCTAACAGCCAACTGATGGGAGCTCGTCCACGTGCTGCTCTGGTGCTGAGTGCGCACTGAAACAGCCCAGGAACAACTATTCCTAACCTGATGCTGGGTTTCCATGGTGACACGGGAATCTGCCAGACAGTGATGTGTCTGCCAAAGAATACTGTCTCAGCAACGGGCCTTCTGAGCACGTGCACAATGTATGCAGTGAATGTGTGTGAAACAAGGGACGAGTTTGAGAGGAGGTAGCCTACGAGGCCCGTGTTTGAGATCAGACTGAAACATAAATACAGACTACTTCTGTGCGCTCCGTCACCTGAGCTGAGAGACGGGGGGAGAACAGAAGGTCGATTAAGCAGCGGGAGACAACAGACCAGGGGCTCGCAGAACACACCGGAGGCCGTTGTTGAGAGCGAAGAGGAGGCAGCGATGAGTGTCTGTAAGCATCTCCCACCTCCCCTCCTTTTTCCTTCCTCTCGCAGCCTCAGAACACCCCGTCCTTACCACCTCCTCTCTCACTTCTACCCTTGCCGTAACCATAGATACCACTGTTGCCTGAAGAGAGGTTTTCTCCCAGACAGACGTGGTGGTGTCAGATGAGGATGCTGGGTGTATGCACGCGCTCATGCACACAAAGGCACACAGCTCAATTTATAGACGCCCTCCTGAGCAATCTTTGTTATCGTTTCTTTTCTTTTTTTCATGTGGAACACGTCCTGTTCCTTTGCACAGATGCTAAGAACAGAATGTGGATGCCCGTCAAATTACTGCACAGCAAGCCTGGTCATCTTAGGTGAGGAAGCTGTATTATCAGTCTGACCACCAATATGACTACTGAAAACTCAGATGTAACACCATTTTGTGGTGTTATACAGGCTGCAATGCGTTGTGCCTCTAATGTCTTTGACTTCCTCACTAATTTCTTTCCACTCAGTTCAGTGTCTCCCTCAGATGTGTCTCCAGTGACCAGTCCTGGGAGCTGAGCTCAGTCTCTGTGCTCTCAGAGGCTGCTTGTAATACATATGGTCCCAGATTACTGTGTTAAACTGATAAATACCAGCTGTGAGACATTCAGTTCCCTTTATTGTGCAGCTTGGCTCTGTAGCTCCTCTCCTGCAGCAGCCCTCCAGACCCATTCCTGATCAGTGACTCATAAAAAAGAAATGCTTTTGACATTAACAGTCACCACATAACACCAGCAATAAGGCGAGCTTCAGGCTGCTGAAGTGCAGCTCCATTATTATTGAGATGGCACAGAGCAACAGAAGTGGTGAACTGACAAGATTAATTAAAATGTGAAAACTGTTTTGAATGTACAGTAAGTCCAATTTAAAATCCGTCCTTTATCCTTAAATCACTGTCCAGATACATACTGGCTTCAACAGCATTTCATCTCCGCTCTTTGAGTAACACCAGCAGCATAAGCAACTTGAATTTCTACTTTATAAGGAAGCCAAGTGCTGTGGCACATGAGTGGTATTTTGTTAGTGTTATTTCAGACTGCAGTTTTGGTAACAGCAAATGATGAAACAACTAGAGTACATGGTCAAGAAGGTTTAAGTAGCTGAGCAGATGAAAATAACATCTCTTTGGCAGAAACAAGGAAAGCACTTTTGGCTGGACATGAAAAATAATACTGGCAAATGTTCTGTTACTAAACATGACCACTTCATACAGGCATCCATTGAATTTATCTGTATGCGTACAGTCCCTAGGATTGGCAGATTTTAGATTGTAGCTCGTAGCTAGATGCAAGCATCAACAGCAAGAGTGTAGCAGGCAACGACCCCTGTCTACCAGCTTTCCTGGTAGGATCCCCACCCCATTTTAAGAAGGTACTGCTAAACTTATAGGCCTATTAGATCTGTCCTTGAACTTCCTCTGAATAATCTGTGGACCCTTCAGCTTTTTTCTGTTAGATTCCACACACAGGTGTGAAACTTGCACCTAAAGCCCAGCGCTGAATTCTGATTCATGAATTCTGCTTCAATAAATATATGCAACAACCTCTCAAATCAAGAACAGAACGGATGGTGTTGAAAACCAACAGGCAAGGTATGCAAAGAGCAACAAGGCATAAACATGAAAGAAAGTAAAGTGCTAAAACATGTCAGAGATTAGCACATGAGATTGCTTATACATCTGACTGATTTTATGATCCTTCATTGCACATCATCAGCCAAAAGTTATTTTTCGCAAATGCATCATGTGAGTGTCTGTCACAAAAAGTCCTCGCTGATAAAACATGTAGCTGTTGCTGATTATTCTATAACAAAAGCAGTTCAGTACCAGTGTCACTACTTGAATCCTTTGTGCTCCAGCATGATTTTGTCTGCGCAGAACAGAAGTGTATTGTCACTACATGAGCCACACAAGTGTAGCCTCCAGCGTCTGCCAGGTTAAGTCATGGTTAACGGATAACGTGCAGGTATCTGAGGTCAGGGTACAGAAGGTTGGCTAGCAGGGCCAGCAGTCGAGGGCCATCTTTAAGACAGTGTCCTGGGTAGCGGATGAACTGGACAGCCTTATTCACAGAGTCCTCTAACTCAGCGTACTGCTTATTGCTGGGCATGGCCTCCAACATCCCCAACGTCTGCATCCACAGGGAAAAACAAACAAGAAAACCAAGTTATTTTTAGGAGATAATTGCAGACTAGAAAATGACAACACTGCAATTTTTTTTGCATACTTGCTGTGCTTTTGCAGAGAGCTGCAAGTCACTGGTGGGCTGGAGTCGAAGTTCAGT